CATCCCTCCTAGGTTTGGTCTGTACGGGCCTCCAGAGGCTGCACCACATTTTGACTGCAGGGATCTATCCCCTGGTTTAAGAGCCAGAAATTGGATCTCCAGCCACAAGGACAGCAACCAGTTCCCACAGCAACAGTGGGCTCCAAAGGTGAAGGGGTCAGGAGTCACCCAGTAACACACTGGAGCCAGGCACTGCAGCCCAGCTCTCTCCATACCAGCATCCTTGGCAAAGCTATAGAACCCATCAAGTCTGACTTCAGTGCAGCCGTCTTCCTTCCCCAGAACTGCCTCAGTGGAGCCTCCCCAGATTGCATGGGTTTATGCTCAGGTGGTTATTAAGTAAGATTAATTTTCTCAGTCACTCAACAAATGTTTACTGAGCACAGATGGGCACCATGCCAAACGTTGGGAATACAGTTGCTCTGAGTGCTACAAAAGAGAGGGGTGTGGTGCCACAGAACATGAGAGGACAAGATGACCTAGGTAGGAAAGGCCTCCCCAAGGAAGGGATGTTTGCACTAAAACCTGAAAAAAAGATGCTAGCTATTAAAAGGGGCTAGATGAGGCAGCTCAATATCTCTCAGGGTATTTATCTGCATTTATGAAATGCTTTGAAACCCAAAGGAAGGTATAAAAATGATACCAATGAATATAAATAGCACTTTATGGTTTATAAAACGTTTTGCCATGCTTCATTCCAGATTCAACAATAGCACTAGAGAGACAGAACAAGAAATGTCATGCTCTGCCTTTTATAAATGAGGAAACAGATTAACAGCAGTTACATGCCTCACCAAGGTTATATATTAAGTCAAGGAGAAGACTCAAGTCCAGCTCTCATTATTCCTCACTGAGAGCTCTTTCCACTACATACTGCTGCCTTCCCAGGAAAGCTAAAAAGTTAAATGACAGATTGGTGTTCATATTTACTAACGCAAATCATACCAAACATCTGGCTGCTGGACTCACCTATTCACACAGTTGGACTGACAGTGCAATGCCAGCAACCTGGTTTCAGCATTATCAGCCACTCTGCACCTTCAACCAGCAACCTCCAAGCAAGCAGCACCAGTGTCAGACCAATCCCCAGCTCAAGCAGAACTTCCCTAAACTTTGTGAACTGTTCTAAGCTATACAGCTAAAAGAAAATAAAAATAGGTCTCAATTTAAAAAGGAGCCATATTCCCTCTTCTCTCACTTTCCTCTTCCTTTTCCAGCTGGCAACTTCTCAGACCTTTGGATCCTTGGTAAACAAAGAGCAAGCAGGACAACCATCCTGTAGTTCTGGGGAGTGTCCTTTAAGCTTCCTTCTTGTCTGGGTCATTGTAGAGATCAGAGAGTAATATATGGATAGACCCAATACCAAGGAGTTGGCATGGAGCAGGGGAAGTACCAGATCTGGAATCAAATGCCTGCAGTTTGGTCTTGGTTCTAACACTGAGCTTCTACTCTCTGGTAAATAATAAACAAGGAAGTTGTGATGGTAATGCAAAATGATGGTCATTATGGAAAATAGTATGGAGGTTCTTCAAAAAATTAAAAACAGGACTACCACATCCAGCGATCACATTTCTGGGTATATATCCCCAAAATTTCTACGCAAGTTCTCAAAAAGATATTTACATACCTATGTTCATTGCAGCAGTATTCACAACAGCTAAGAGGTAGAAGCAACTAAAATGTTCATAGTTAAATGAATGGATTTTTTTAATGTGGTATACACACATTATGGAATATTACACAGCCTTAACAAGGAAGGAAATCCTGTCACATACTACAACATGGATGAACCTTGATGATATCATGCTAAATGAAATAAGCCAGTCAAAAAAGGACAAATACTATACGATTTCATTCATATGAAGTAGTTAAAATCACAGAAACAGAGAGTAGAAAGGTAGTTCCCAAGGGCTGGCAAGAGGGGGAAGGGGAATTGTGTTTAATGGGTATAGAGTGTCCACTTTGCAAGATGAAAAAGTTCTAGAGATCTGTGACACAACAGTGTGAATATACCTAAATATAGGTATATTCTGCTGAATATACTGCTGAACTTCACACTTAAAAATAGTTAAATTTAGTGTTACACATTTACCACCATAATTAATACTGAAAGCATATTAAAAAGGAAAAAAAGCAAAACACGCTCAAGACAGATAACATAAATTCAGAAAGAACATCAAGAGGGACCAAATGAGAAATGGAGAGAGGGAAGAGGAAAGCACCAGTGAAAAACAAAGGCCAGATATTTAGCTCAGAGCCCACTCTGGGGTAAGGAATAGGAGCCCCAGCTCAAAGAATGAATGGGGACACCTCACACAGATCCCTTCACTCTGAATGCTTCTCTCTCTGGGAAACAGATGATCTTCACTGACCATCAACTGTCCCTTTAGCACTCTAGACAGGTTCAGGGAGGTTAACATCTCACACATGTGAGGCCCTGTGATCCTTATCATAATTGCTGTTTTCCAAGGTCTTCCCACTGCTCCAGCCAAGCTGTGAGGCCTGTGTCTTCTGAATCCATCAGAACACCCAGCAACCAAAAGCCTGCCCAATGTTAGCCTGGCACCATTCTACATAAAAGGACAAAGTCAAGAATAGTCCTTTACACAGAAATCCCATGCCCTAGTTCTTGAAAGCTGTAATTACAGCTAACACAGCTTTTAAAAGGAAAAGAAGAAAAGAAAATAGCAGCCTGGACCTAGCAGTGAATTGAGGGGTTTAGGGTAAAACACATACCACAGCACTTGCTATTAATGGTGGCCAGTCTAAACAAGAGACTGGCCAGCCAGACCAAACAGCTTTCTGGCCAATTAATTGCTCCCTCTAATTTAATGAGCTGCTCAGTAAGCACTGGAAGCAGCCCATAGGAAGGGAGCTACAGGAAGAGGCACATGGGCCATAAGGGCTGGCAGATGATGAGGGAAAAGGAGACTGGGGTCACATTCTAACCCCAGACGCCTCCAGATCCCACGACCGGCCAGCCCCATCCCATGCCTCGGCCTTCCCTTGCTTCCAGGTGATGTTTACCTGTACCTCTGTTTATTCCACAAAGTTATATCTCTGCCACTGGCTCTCTTACTGGGGAGGTTCCATGTACCAGTTCTTTGGTTCCTCAGCAGCGGTAATGACTCATATTAGGGTCACAAAGAGCCCTCAGCAGGGTTACAAACGGGCCAGCACAGTCCTGAATATGAATCCCGACTCTTCCTACTCACAGCAACTTGACCTAGAATTATTTAATCTGCCCAAGGTTCTATTTCCTCATCTATAAAATGTAATAATAACATCCTCATCTAGAGTAGCTGTAAATAGTAAATAAAATAATAAAATATTATTTCAATATTAAAAAGCCTAACAAAGCACCTGGCACATAAGTAGCTATTCCTAATAGTGACTACTATTAACAGAGATATCACTTTCATAATGATAGTGATACTACTGACAACATATTCTCTGTCTCTTAGTCAAAAGTGAATTAAAAAGGCACTATTTTTGGTTGAAACCCCAAAGACAGGCCAGCTGCAGGTCCAGTCCTTCTTATCACAGCAGCAACCACAACTGTGGTGAAAGTAGCAGCCCATCCTAACAACTGTAACACCTCCAGATGTTCCCCAGACGAGGCCTCTGTGCTTTCTATCTGAGCTAGAGGGTGAAGGAAAAGAGGAGGCCTGGAAACACTCAAAAGTTGCATGTTCTCATGAGACTGAGTGAAGAAATACATTCAGGCCATATGTCTGCCCCTTCCTAGACCTATGGGACTCCTCGCTATACCCCTCTGAGCTTCAGTTTAGAAAATGAGGGTGACTGGTACCCCATTTCACAGCCTGCTGTGAACACTGAATGAAACAACTCAAGTAAAAGTGCTTTGAAGCTACTTCTTACTGTGTCCATGAAAATAGTACTGTTGTATTTAATGTCAGTCTCAATAAATTTAATTTAACAATAAAAAAATGCTGAAATACTGGGAAGATCAAGGCAATGAAAGGATTTTATTAGGCTGATGAACTGTGCAGAGAAAGAGCCCCAATCATGCAAATTTTCTTCCCAACGTTGCTGTCATTGAGTTGAAGTTTCTGTTGACCAGATGAAGGATTGACTGAAAGTAAAACTAAGAAGGAAAAATGAAGCTACAGCATTACTTACATGTTTTCCATTTAGGTGAGTAGATTATTCTACAGAACAATGATTCTAAAGAGCAAACCAGGCTGTATCCAGGGATGACCAATCGTGCCATCTCTAATGCCAATTTTCTCTTACAATAAACAATTAAAATCCATTTCACCAATCCCGAACCTACCTTTGAAATGCATAAGTACAAAGTAATTTATTCTGTTCCAGTGCAGAGAACATGGACAAATTCCTTTGCAGGTATCAGAAGAGAATTTAATTCTTGTTCAGTCTCAGCTCCATGTACCACAGAGTCAGAAAGCAACAAGTTCATAGACTGAACCACATATATCAACGAGAAGGTATACTGAACTTTCCGAAAGTAGACAAAATGGCAGAAGAAAATGCACTGACATTCCCGGAGCCTAAAGCATCCAACCAATAAAATTTTGTTAAAATCTCATATTTACTCTTAAAAATCCAAGTAAATCTTATATTCTATACCACAATAAATTATCTTTTTAAAGAATGTTTTGAGTCAATTACCAGCTAACTACTAAACCTTTTTCCTAAAATCTTTGAATAAAAAAGAGACATCAGTCCCTGGCCAGTCACTACACATCATCAAGGTAGCGTGCATCTCAGTTTGAGGAGCTACAGGTCACAAGAGAGAGAAGATGGTACCACTCCAGCCATCACAGCCATTTTAACATTGGCCTTTCATCAAGATCAAACATTCAATTCAGAACAGCCTCCCGGAGGGTACAGAGAGGAGGAGTTTGGGTTTGCAAGGGGTGCAGCCATCCATTTTGGACCCTCCAGCCCTACCTAGAAGGGCCAGCAGCTAAGATACTTGACTCCCCGCTCCACACAGCCCGCCTCTGGCCACTCACCCGGATCCGGCGCATGGCAGCCACGATCTCCACCCTGCTGTTGGGCCTTGGCACGTCCAGGCTTCCTACGTACTGTGGGGGAGAAGCAAACACTCATTGAGAGGAGGGGTAGCAAGTGTCCCTAATCCCAGAAAGTTCCAAAGGGTGAAGGGCCAGCTCATCTGCCCATTTGACAGATGAAGAAATTAAGAGCTAGAAGGGTGTTTTGTTCTGAGTCTGTTTCTAACTTTATAAAGAGCAAGTTAACCAGAAATTACTGCTTCCTTTATCTTGCTCTTAACCAGAGATCCAGTAGAGCACTGTGTCTAACCAAGCAGCCTTTCAAGCCAGAAAGTCTTGGGTATGAAGACTCTTCCACCACTAATTTTACAGCAAGGCAATTCACTTTTTTTGTCTCAATGTTCTCAACTGTAACATTGGCTCTCAGTAAAGATCAAACAGAATAAAATGTCCTACACAAAAGTGATTGGCAAATATTAGTGCCCTCAAAAAAAAAAAAAAAAGAATATATACCTTTTTTAACTATGGAACTTCACTGATTTAGGCCTAGATGTTTTAGATACCTGACACATTTGATTAAGTTCCTGTTTGGAAGAAAGAAATGAACTAATTTATTTAAAATTTTTTATTATACTTAGAAGTTATTTTAAAACCAATTTGAATGTGAAGATGAATGCTTAATATGAGTATTTTCTTACTGTAAGCTATTCAAATAATACAGAAATATGCAGCACAAAAGAATAAAGTCCCCTCTGTAACAGTTGATGTACATCTCTCTTTGTGTACTGATGGGTATATATTCACAGATGGGGGGAGTTTGTTTTATATAAAGGTTCATATTACTCACATTGTCCTGCAACTTGGTTTTTTGACTTTAAATACAACTAGGGCATCTCTCTATGCCAATGAATACAAGACTATTACATTACACATAATGGCTCCCCTACTGATGGACATGCTATGTCACTATTACAAATTATACTTTTCATCTATACAAGTTTGAGCCCATCCAAGTAGCTCTGGAAGTAAGATTGCCAGATTCCTAGAAGTAAGATTGCTAGATCAAAAGTATAATCTTGGCTGGGCACTGTAGCTCATGCCTGTAATTCTGTTCTTTGGAAGGCTGAGGCAAGGAGATCACTTGAGGTCAGGAGTTCGAGACCAGCCTGGCCAACATGATGAAACCCCGTCTCTATTAAAAATACAAAAATTAGCTGGGCGTGGTGGCATATGCCTGTAATTCCAGCTACTCGGGAGGCTGAGGCACGAGAATTGCTTGAACCCAGGAGGCAGAGGTTGCACTGAGCTGAGATCATGCCATGTCACTCTAGCCCAGATGATGGAGTGAGGCTCTATGTCAAAAGTAAAAATTTAAAAAGGTATAGTCTCTAGATATCATTTCTTATAAGAATGAAACAAGAAAATAGGACAACCCAACATTGATTCATTGATTAAGCATCTATGACATGAGTTCCTTCATATACACCATCTCATTAGACACTGACCCACTGGGACTTGCCTTTCCTTATTATACATAAATTACATAAAACAGCCCAAGGGATATACCAGAAATTAAGAGCCCAGAATAACTTAAATGTCTACCCAAGCAAAGATTCCATTAAGAGTGAAGATAAGACTACCACAGTCATCTGTGCGGGAAAGGAATGTTCTGTGGTTACGGGAAAAGCAAGTTTTTCCCGAAATTTGGAGCTGAAGTCTGACCCCAGTGAAGAGGGTTTCAAAAACTAATTATCACAAAGGGATTTCCCCTAGTATTGATCAACAGTTTGTGCTAATACACTGAAGAACACAACTGGCAAGCAGTGAGCACATTGCAGTTTGGCCCCAAGAGGACAGCCCCACCACGGCCCTTGGGGAGCAACACAGCTATTGAAGAACCTTGCAACTCGCTGAGGTAAACAAAACCACTTAGATCTAATAGTGTGGCCAGATTTAATGGTGGTTACGTTTTTGCTTCCGAGCTCTGCTGAGGCGGTGCAGTCTGTCAACAAGACAGTGACCCAGAGCTAGGGATGACGTGAGGCCCAGATTCGTGATTGCCCAACTTCACAGGCCCTCCAGCCGGGGACAGTTTCCATGCCCCCCTCCTTGACACTGCACAGCTGATGGCTCCTGCCCTGAATGCCCTGTAGTCAGGAACACACAGGCCTTGAGGGGCTCATGTTCCCTCAGCCATCACATGAGAGCTGGGGCCACAGGACCGAGCAAGGTCACCCATCACAGGGAGCCTGGGGGGCTGTACGGTCCTCCCACTGGATCCCTGCAGACCAGGAAAGGGGCTGCTGCCCACTGAGACCCACCACTGGGCCTGAACACAAATACCCAGATGGGGACCCATCTCTACCCTACCACACACTTGCCTCACCCCACACCCCTACTAACACATCACACACACCACACACTCACTCGCTCTTCTTCCTTCCTTCCTTCCCATTCATGCAAAGAAAATCACTAATCTAAATACCTAGAAATTAGCTTAACCAAAGAAGTGAAAGATTGCTACAATAAAAACTATAAAACATTAATGAAAGAAATTGCAGAGGACACAAAATAATGAAAAGATAACCCATGTTCATGAATTAGAAGAATCACTATTGTTAAAATGTCTATACTACCCAAAGCAATCTACAGATTCAATACAATCCCTATCAAAATACCAATGACATCCTTCACAAAAATAGAAAAAACAATCCTAATATTTATACAGAGCCATAAAAGACCCAGAAATAGCTAAAGTTATCCTGAGCAAAAAGAACACAGCTGAAGGAATCACATTACCTGACTTCAAATTATGCTACAGAACTATAGCAACCAAAACAGCATGGTACTGGCATAAAAACAGACATACAAGACCAAAGGAACAGAATGGGGAATCCAGAAACAAATCCATACACCTACTGTGAACTCATTTTTAACAAAGATCCCAAGAACATACGTTAGGGAAAGAATAGTCTCTTCAATAAATGGTGCTGGAAAAACTGGATATCCATATGTAGAAGAATAAAACTGGACTCCTATCTCTCACCATATACAAAAATCAAATCAAAATGAGCTAAAGACTCAAAACTAAGACCTCACACTATGAAACTGTTAAAAGAAAACATTGGGGAAACTCTCCAGGACATTGGACTGGGCAAAGATTTCTTGAGTAAAGCCCCATGAGCATAGGCAACCAAAGCAAAAATGGACAAATGGGATCACATCAAGTTGAAAAAGTTTCTGCACAGCAAAGGAAACAATCAACAAAGTAAAGAGACAATCCACAGGATGGGAGAAAAAAATTGCAAACTTCCCATCTGACAAGGGATTAATAACCAGAATATATAAGAAGTCCAAATAACTCTGTAGGAAAAAAATCTAATAATCTGATTTAAATATGGGTGAAAGATCTGACTGGACATTTCTCAAAAGAAAACACAAAAATGGGAAACAGGTACATGAAAAGGTGCTCAACACCATTATCAGAGAAATGCAAATCAAAACTACAATGAGGTATCTTTCACCCCAGTTAAAATGACTTTCATCCAAAAGACAGGCAATAACAAATGCTGGCAAGGATGTGGAGAAAAGAGAACCCTCGTACACTATCAGTGGGAATGTAAATTAGTACAACCATGATGGAGAACAGTTTGGAGGTTCCTCAAAAAACTCAAACTAGAACTACAACATGATCCAACAATCCCACTGCTAGGATACTCAAAAGAAAGGAAATCAGTATATTGGTGAGATATCTGCACTTCCAGATTATTGCAGGACTATTCACAATAGCCAAGATTTAGAAGCAGCCTAAGTGTCCCTCACTAGACAAATGGATAAAGAAAATGTAGTACAATGGAGTACTATTCAGCCATGAAAAAGAATGAGATCCTGTCATTTGCAATAACACAGATAAAAATGGAGGTAAGTGAAATAAGCCAGGCATAGAAAGACAAAAACTTCACATGTTCTCATGTATTTGTGGGAGCTAAAAATTAAAACAATTCAGCTCATGGAAATCGAGAGTAGAATGATGGTTACCAGTAGGTGGGAAGGGTAGCTGTAGGGGGAAGGAAGGATGGTTAATGAGTACAAAAACATAATTAGGTAAGATGAATAAGATCTAGTATTTGAAAGCACAATAGGATGACTACAGTCAACAATAACTTATTGTACATCTAAAAATAACTGGGAGTGTAATTGGATTATCTGTAACACCAAGAAAGGATATATGCTTAAGGTGATAAATACCCCATTTACCCCGATGTGATTATTATGTACTGCATGCCTGTATCAGAATATCTCATGTGCCCCCATAAACCTATACACCTATTATGTACCCACAAAAATTGAAAATAAAGTTTTAAAAATAAAAAAATTACAAAAAAGAATCACTAATTTGCCTTTCTGAGAATGCGTCTGGAATAAATAACCTGTTTTCGCTATAGCTGCACCTTGGAGTCATCCAGAGAGATTAACACGATATACAAAGCAGGATTCAGGTCCGCATCTCCTAGACAAAAGCTAAACATCCACACCAATAACATGAATCAACAGCAGAACTACAACGCCAGGGAAGCAGAGGAAGGGTCAGAAAGTCTACTGCACAGGGCAAAACCAGAGGGTGTGACATGTGAATACTTTCTTTACACATATGACACCACAACGAAGAGTGCCTTGATAACTAATCATTACCACCTCCACAACTAACTTCTGTCTGTCCCTGAGCCTTCATCTTGACCAAAGTGTAAGACACCATCTAAGACCAGACGCACTTGCTGGATGGTGGCCCTTCTAACTGCTCAACTTCAAGCAATTCTGCAGTAAACTGAACTCAGGCAGCACCCTCCCACTCTTGACTGGAAGGTGAGCTCAGCAGGTAGATGAGGTTCAGGCCTAGGAGCCAACAACCTTCAGAGATCCGGGCTCTGTCAATTCCTACAGAGGTCAGGCAAAACCAATTCCCTGCCTTCAGTCAAAGACTGATACACTGGTGGCAGGTGATCACTCTGAAACAGTACTCCTTTTATCTGCCTCTCCTGCAGGATGCAGGCTCCCACAGGTTCCTAGGACAA